GAAAGAAGCCCAGTCCGGAAGCCGCAGGAGCAAACCCAGTGGTGGGAGGGAAGAGGCGCCGGGCTCAGGGTGCAACCACACAAACGGGCGGAGTCCCACACCAGCGCGGCTGGGGAATGTGAGCGTGAATACCAGCTGTCCACTTGACTGGACTGAGAGAGGCCGAGGTGGCTGGTGAAGCATTGTTTCTGGGTGTGTCTGTGGGGGTGTTTTCAGATGATGTGAACTTGGGAGTTAGTGGACTGGGAGAGAAAGACCCACCCTCAATGGGGAGGACACCATCCAGTCGGCTGCCAGCACGGCCAGAGCAAAGCAGGCAGAGGACGGCGGCATATTCAGCTTACTGAGCTTCCTCTTCCCCGCCCCCTCCCCCCTCTCTCCTTTCAAAACACGGGATGCTTTGCTTTCTCTCCTCCTGCCCTCGGATGGACATCAGACCCCAGGTCCTTTGGCCTTCTGACTCTGGTACTTGCGCCATCAGCCTGCCGGGGGGCTCTCAGGTCTTCAGCCTCAGACTTGGGGTTGTGGCTCCAAGTGTGGGCTCACCTGCCTGCTCCTTCCCGGTTTTGAGATTTCAGATTTGGACTAAGCCAAGTTACCAGCTTTTCTCATTCCCCATCTTGCAGAAGGCCTGTCATGGGATCCTTGGAGGACCCTAATACAAAGAGGGTGGGGAAAAAGGCAGAGGGGCCATGTGGAAAGGGGAGAGGCCACCTGAGCACAGCTGGGGACCCTGGGTCAGGTGACACCCAGCCCTGCAGGCGGTCAATATCAGGGAGGTATATTGGTCAGATTACCTAGATATTCAAAGGCAGTTCCAGGACCAGCAACATCACCTGGTCACTGATGAGAAATGCAGAATCTCAGGCCCTCCCAGACCTTCCGGTTCAGAATCTGATGTTTAACAACAGCCACGGGTATTTCTTATGCACATTAAAGTTTGAGAAGCAATAGGTCAGAAGGTAACTTGTCGCCTGCCATGAATTTGGGGAAAGCAAGAGCAGTGGTTCTTAACCTTGGTTGGACTTATTACCCAGATCCTTGCCCGGATTACAGTGACAATAACAAAATCCGGCCCACAGGGTCGCTTGTGAAGATCAGTGGCCCAGCACCCATGAACGCCACGTCCCTGTAAACTAGAACGTGCTCTAACAGTGCCACCTACTCTTTTTGCTTTTCCTGTCATATTTCCTCTGCTGCTTCAAAACCAAAGGAAGTGAGGCCTCATTTCTTCAGATTTTGTCATTTAGTTTAACCCTATTTCACCCCACAAAGTCCCCAGAAGGCACAGAGGAGAAAATCACCCCCAAGACCTGCCTCACTTCTGCTGAGACCCTGCCTACTGTTCTTCTCACCTCCCCCTCCACCCCCGTGACACACTGAAGGAAGAGGAGAAAACGCCAACAGGTCTGATCTCCCAGGCGTACAGATTTACAAAGCAGTCAGCACTTTTAACTAAAAGTCTTGTCCAGGATACGCACAGACATTTATCATGTGGGCAGGGCACAGCGCCGTGGTTGGATCTCGACATGGAGTCTCCTCTTTTATGTCAGATCAGGACGGGCCAACTGCAAACTGAGACAGGAGGGTCTGCTGGAAAAAACGGGGACCTGGAGAAGACCTGTGTTTAAGCCTTCACCCCAGCTCTGCTTCTAACTTACCTTATATGATTCAAAGGATTATTTAATCACTCTTTCTATGTTCCCACCTCTCCTGCTGCTATCAAACCTCAAATCTCTATTAACCATTGGAATTTTGTTAGAAAGTGATGAATAGTCCATCCAAAGGCATGTAATAAAGAATATCTTCTATTTATAGAAATGTGATCATATTTAAGCACTTGATAAGATGATAAACAAAGAAAATATTATCCCCACTTTATTAATTTAAAAACTGAGATTTCAGTTGATTTGTAAAATTGCCCGAAGTCTTTAAGTTTTACATGAAAGGCAGTGTCAAGAACAAAATCCGAACTTCTGACCCCTAGGCCAATGTTCTCCCTACACTGCTAATTTCTGCGGAATGCCATTGCATGTATCTATGAAAAACCTATTTCCATTTCTATCTGCATAGAAAAAAGTAACAGTGGCAGAGGGCCATGTCCACTATGATTGGTCCTGCTTTAGAACTGAAGGAAGACTTTGGTTTCCAAATAATGTCTCTGCTAGAAAGAAAGTTTGCAAAATGTGGATCTCTCATTAAAGAGTCTTTCTGATTAGAGGGGAGTGGGAACAACGCCAAGGAAAATGTAATGGGAGTCAGCTGGAGATGCAGGTGTGCAGTCTTATAAATTACTCAACAGTTCTTCATGAGCGCCCCCCAAGACCCCACAGCACAACGGGAAGACGGGTGCTCCACTCTGCCCAAGGAACACATGGCCAGGAACTCCTGCTCACTTTAGGAGGGTCTAGGGGGTTTGATTCCAAAAGCCAAGGGTGGCAGGGACTTGCCCAGCTCACAATAAGCCCCTTTCTCTGACAACTGCCAGTAGTCATGCTTGCACCATCTCATACACAGACACACATCCATATCGACTGGACTAGGGTGATCACATGACCCAAGCCCATCCAATTCTCTCTCTCCCTGGGAGTCTGAAATTAAGACTTAGAGGCATCCAATCAATCTGAGCTGATTACTTGGATAAACAAGAGGAAAACTCAGGAGCTATGAGGCATCCATTTTACATCATGCACGTGAGGAGCAAAGTCACATGTACACCCTGAACAGGACTTTGTTTGCAATTAATGTTTCTTTTACAGGATGCAGACGAAGAGAATGAACAAGGACTATGGGCTCCTAGCAGCTTCAGAGCTCCCGGTCCCACCTCTTAAAAGGCCCAATTGTCCTGGGATCTTGTAAGATATCCCAGTATCACAATGTACTCTTTTCCCTTCCCCTGCAACTGGCTGTAGTTGGTTTCTATTATTAACGACCAAAGAATCTTGAATGAGACCCTAGGTAAAAGAAATTACCCACCATCTGATGACTGCTTGGCGTGGCTACACGCTACCAAAAAGGGTCTCACTCACCCTGCCTCCTCCAAAGGTGTAGGCAACAATGAGATTTAGAAAAGCATTGGAGGGCAACCTTGGAGCCCATGGACACTTCATAAGTGGTTTAAGGCAAACAGAACATGACGAATAAGTAAACTGAACTCATTCCCAGACCTAATTTTTTTAAGTAAAATAAAATCAGGTCCACTTAGAGTTTAAAATGGCATTTGGCTAGAAGTTCCTGACAAAGGATCTCCAAAAGCTTCTCCTAAATTATGCATCATATAGAAAAATGACAAAAACTCACAACAATAATGAAAATGAAGACTAACAACCTGCTACCAGGATCTAGAAGGAATTCCTACTAACTAAATAAAGCTGCTAAAGCTGAGCTGCATTGAGACAAACAGTCCGTGCTTCTTACCAGGATCTAGAAGGAATTCCTACTAACTAAATAAAGCTGCTAAAGCTGAGCTGCATTGAGACAAACAGTCCGTGCTGCTTCTTAGAAAACAGAAGAGCACCATCGTCTTGAAAGATGATAGACATTTTCTTTCTCTCCTACTTTCTACCTCCAGTTCAGAGACCCAGGACCAAGTCAAATGAAAACCTGGCTCTTTATTATGACTGCTATTCTTTGCAGGAGCCAGAGAACTATTACCTCTCCCTCAATCTACATCCATTCATAGAATGCAATTACTGGGAAACCACGGAGCAGAAAGCAGAAGAGGATTACCAATGGCACGTCATGTTTTGGAAGGCATTTTCTCCACACAGCATGCCTTATAGGAAGCACAAAGGTAGTCTGTGCTGGAGAGTAAGATTTTCATATCCCCCATCAGTTCTGGTTATGTTAGAGAATGGGCAGAAGAGGTAGGGGGAGATCCCATGCCAGTTCAGCAGGGCTGCACAAGATGAATGCCCTTCAATTCTGGGGCGCTGTGCACCACAACTGCCCTTCAGCTACAGACCTAGGAATAGGGCAGTGAGCAAAGCCAAAGACAATCTGCACAATCTACACTTCCTCTTTTAGCAAGCAAGCACCAAGGCTCCACGGAGCTCTACTTGCTTAAATGTGCCAGGCGGAAGAGGGGATATAGGAGAGGGAACCCTCATGAGGCCTATGGAAAAACAGCATTCACCATAAGAGAATAAGGGAAACAGAGCATCAGCCAGAAGACTAAGAAAAAGAGCACATTTCTGAAGATAACTTACTACAGAAACCAGAAGAAAATGTTTTAAAATTGGCATTTATAATAGAAAAACATAATGTGGCCCTACGAAATTGAAACTGAAAACCATATATATACACACACATATATATACACACACACACACACACACAAATACACATAGATATAGAAAACAAGCTGAGTTAAACTGCTATCAGGATAAGCTTCAAAGACTGGCATGTGAGATGACATTTTATGTTCTTACAAAACTGTGATGGGGGGCCGGCTCCCTTGTTAGACCTAATTGTGATTCTTTTACAATGAACAGTGAAGCAAAACTTTTAGGATATCAAGAGAAAGAAGTTAGCTAAAAGAGTGGAGTTTTTAAAAATATGTTACTGAAAACAATATTAAACAATATTCAGATATGATCCACTCAGACTTCAGCTCCTTACTACTTGTAAGTGTTCTTCCCTCTGCAAATGTCCAAGCAAATCAGACCAGCACACACCCACTGGAGAAGAATGGTACTCTAAAGCTGCTTCTGTTTTTTTTTTTATTTTTGGCAGAAATGATGGAACTGTTAAAATTCAGTAATGATTTTATTACCTCATTTGAGATCATTTCATTCTCTTTTTCCAGTAGCAACAGCAAATTGGTTAAGAAAGCAAAATCCAGCAGTTCTCATACAAATATTGCAAGAATTTTGTTAAAATATTTTAGGGTACATGGTGATTTCAGAATATGTATTATTAGAGTACCTTTAGCTGCTGTACAAATACATCCAATGTTTGTATCTTGGCTGAAATACAATAAAAGTTTATCTGTCACTTACAAAAGCGCTCGAGGCAGATGTTCCCAGTTGGCAAGAGCAGCTGTCCACCCTGAGCACCCAGGCTAACAAAGGTTCTGCCACCTTCACCATGAGGCCTCCAAGGTTGTCACTGTCCTCTCATGGCACTCAGCTGGAAGGGGGGAAGGAGAACAGAGGATGACTCATTAAAGGCTCTTATGGGGAAGTCCTATATGTCACACACATCACCTGCATTCCCATTCTACTAACTAGAATACAGTCTCAGGGTAGATATTAGGGGCTTCAAGCTTATGAAAGAGAATTTGGCCAATGGACTCAAGAAAAGATATAAAGGAAGCTGGTTGTAATAAGAGAAAAATATTCCCAAGAAAATTAAATTATTAAACATAATTAAAAGTCACATAGAAAGCAGTCAATGAGTGGAATGGACATGGCAGAAAACTAAGAAAGCATTATAGATGGCAAACTGGAGGAACACTTTCGGAATGCCAAGAAAGAGCACCAAGAATTAAAACTATTTCCTTAATTCTAAGATGTCTGTGTTGCCACATCAGCACTTCTGAAATCAGGCCAAGTCTTGCAATCACTGGCATCTTATAAGCGCCCTGGGCCAGGGAGCTGCCATGGTGAGGTCATCAAGACCTGGGCATGGGTGAACTTGGTCTCAGCTGTTCATGTTATTAGCACTTTAATTGAGTTGTATACATTGTTGCAATTACATGTGAGTTTAATTGCCATTTAAAATGTCTTTTAAAAGATTACACTATGGTTTGGCATTGAAACAAGAAGTTATTATGTATGCAGAAAGGCATGGAATTCAAGCAGCAGGATGTAATTTGATATTACTGAAGCAAATGTCTATTATTGGACCAACCACTGCAATTCTTTTTATTTTTTTTTTTTTCTTTAAGAAAAACTAAGTGCTTGACAGGACCCAAGAAAGGAAGGTATCCTTAAGTAGAAGCTGTGTTATGTTTTGTAACTGAGACTCATGCAAAAAGAATTGCCTGTCACATGCCAAACAATGCAACCAAATGCAGGAGCAACTGCCAAGTCCCTCAAAATAGATGAAGTCTATCAAAATAAGAGAGAGAATGGTGTGAGCAACTTACCAATTTCACAGGACTGTAATCATGGCATTATGTCACAGTTTAATTGGCAGCATTTTTTCTTCCTTAGTTGTACATATAATAATAGTGCTTCTTACAACAAATACTAGCTTAGATTCAATAAAATACAGTACTTTAAAAAGAAGACGATAGCTGTGGAAGACCAGGAATAGAGATTGAGCCTAAGAGTTATGTTTCTGAAGAAGAATCTAGAACAATCAAAAGAGAAACAATAACTGAAGATATAATTAAAGAAAACTTTCCAAAAAGGGACAGAAAGGGGAAACAGAGAAGTGGACTCAGTTCACCAGGTTCCAGGTAAAAGTAACCAAGAGACGCTCAAATCCAGAAATATCCTGAGAAGTTTTTAAATTACAAGCAAATTTTTAAGTGTTTTCTATGTACATCCAGACCAAAAGAAAAAGGAAGTAAGGAGGGAAGGAAGGGAGGGAGGAAGGGAGGGAGGGAGGAAGGGAAGGAGGAAGGAAGGGAGGGAGGGAGGGAGGGAGGGAGGAAGGAAGGGAGGGAGCGAGGGAGGGAGGGAGGGAGCGAGGGAGGGAGGGAGGGAGGAAGGGAGGAAGGGAAAGAGGAAGGAGGGGAGGGAGGAGGGAATGAAGGAGGGAGCCCAGGAGGAAGGAAAGAAGGAAGGAAGGAAGGAAGGAAGGAAGGAAGGAAGGAAGGAAGGAAGGAAGGAGGGAGGGAGGGAGGGAAGGAAGAAAGGAAGGAAGGAAGGAAGGAAGAAAAGAAGGAAAGGAGGGAGGGAGGGAGGGAGGGAGGGAAGGAGGGAAGGAGGGAGGGAAGAAGGAAGGAGGGAGGGAAGGAGGAAGGAAGGGAGGGAGGGAGGAAGGAAGGAAGGAGGGAGGGAAAGAGGAAGGAAGGGAGGGAGGGAGGAAGGAAAGAAGGAAGGAAGGAAAGAAGGGAAGAAGGGAAGGAGGGAGGGAGGAAAGGAGGGAGGGAGGGAGGGAGGCAGGGAGGGAGGGAGGGAGGGAGGGTGGGAGGGAAGGAAGGAGAAAGATGGAATAAAAATTGTGCTGACCTTTGTCTCTACTACAATGTAGGAGTAGCTTACAGAGTTTTGATATGGAAAACACTTAGATGAAAATTTTACTCACAAATAAGTTTAGTTTTTGAGGACAGACAACCAAAAGAGCTCAGAATGTCTGCCACTCACATATTCTTTAAATCACTTTAAAATATATTTCAGCTGCCCAAACGATGACTTAAAATTACTCAAGAAAGGAAAAAATAGAGTGTCAAAGGACTAGCAGTGAGTGTTGAAGCCAATTACACACAGAGAGTTGGTCTAAAATAGTTGTTTAACTATGGTTACAAGACAGAATATGTGTCAAAAATACCCTAGAACCAAGAGACATACAACATCAAAAAACAATGCATGAATAATCTGATCCCAAGTCCATAAACTAATCAGCTTTCAAATAGGAAAGGAGAACAGAGGGAAATAAAAGTGTACAGAATTCATCCTACGCAGTTGTGAGCTTAAAAATACCATTTTATTCTTGACTTTAACAACCAGAGAAATATTGATTGGTGCTCACATCCATTTTTAGAAACTCATTACGTAGGAGAGTAGGGGCCTGTCCTTTAAAAGATAAAACCTCACTTCTGCCTCAAGGTATTTACAGTTTGAAGATCTCTAATCAACACACAGGATAGGTTTTAATTTGTTACAAGAATAAACAAATGTCAAAGTCCTTGAAGAATTTAAGGTTTTGTGCAGAACCAGTCCTCAAATGCTGTTTCAATGTTACTGCCCACAAGCATTTTCCATTCCTTCTGGTAAAGCCTCCTAAAACCTGGTATGAAAGGATGGCAGTTCCTGGTCACTGTGGTGCCCTCTGTACCTGACAGCAGGGTCCCCTTGATGTCAGTCTGCATTGTGAAAATCCATGAACCAGACTGCCCTTGTTTAACAGCATCACTGGTGTCACTGAGAATGAGACACACAGATTTGGATTGCAGGGAAGCTCTCATGGTAACCATTACACACACAGCACCGAGACCTGAAATCAGTACACAAATACCAGATATTTTCCTTCCAGAATTTAATTTAATGCTCACAATCACCATCCAAGTAGGCGGCATTTTTCCCATTTTACAGATAAGAAAACTGAAGTTTAGGAAGGCTGTTTTCCAGAATTACAGAGCCAGTCAACAGATGGCAGACAGGGGTCTCCAAGCAAGGAATTTCTGGCTCCAAAGTTCACGGTACCCTACCACACTATTTTCTTAATTCAAAGAAAGAAGTTACAAGGAACGGAAATGGAGATAATAATTTTACAATTTATTACAGCACTAGTAAAGATGCTGCCTCTTTTACAAAGTAATAATCCAATGAACTGAACTAATCATACTGTGCTAGTACCCCGTTAACCCTCTCTAAAACATTCACAAAGTGGATACGACACAGGGCTGCTCCAGGGCCAATGAGTTTTCTCTCTAAAGTAAAATTCCCAGGGAGCGCTCTGGTCTCTAAGGCTTGATTAGCAAGTACCAATTAATGCTCCTTCGGTCCTCTTTGTGTCTTGAGCACCTAGGGCTAACCCTTGCCTTGCCGACAAGGATGAGATGAAATCATTGACTCACCCTAAAGAGCTCAAGTTCTAATGCACTGCTCCCTCCCAGGGCCTTGAATAGAGAACAATCTTTAGGACAAAAGACTGCATCTCTAATAGTGAAATTTTAGACGTCAGCAAAGGAGATATTTTTAAGTCACACACAGACACACAAATTTTCCACGTCACACCTTATTGAGACAGTGGTTCCTCATCTGGTGCCGAGGACCGCGGCTCACCTCGGTGTTACCCAACTTAACGTCTTGCCCCGCCACAAACCATGGATAAAGACCAAACCAGGGCGTGCAACGCCCGGAAGACTGGTCCAACCCCGGCGCCCAGGCCTGCAACCCCTGGGAGGCGTGGGCGGCCGCTGCCAGCACCCCGAGTCTGTCGCTGCGTCCCCGCGGCTCCCCCTCTCTGGGGTCCGCCCGGCCAACCCAGGCGCCCGCAGGAGGGACCACGCCCGCCCGGAGCCGGCGCGTCCCCGCCCCCTGGGACGCACCGTGGCTGCCAGAGGGCCGCTGCTGCCACCTCGCGGCCGCGTCTCCCCGAACCGCGCTCAGCCGCCACGCCCAGAAACCCTCCCGGAGGACGCTCGGGTCCGAGTCCAGTGGGCCTGGGAGGTGGTGACTTTGCTGGCAGGGGCTTCCTACGGAAGGAATCGTCTTCCTCTCGGGTCACTCACGCCGCGCACCCAGACTGGAGGTGGAGATGAGCGCTTCCAGCACCGACCTCCCCCAGGGTTCCAAGGGACACGTGCTCCACGCCCCTTCCCCGTCTGGGGATTCGAAAAAGCCACACAACCTGGCCCCAGGCACAACGTATAACAACTAGAACCCCCAGATGTGGGCAGACCGGCTCCATTTGGGCCATCCTGGATGCCTGAAGAATGCGAGTTAGAGCGGAGATCTTTGAACTCAGATTCAAATGTCAGACCCACTGAATTAGAATCCCCTGGGTAGAGGCCAGGAAACGATTTTTGCAAAGTTCCCCCAGGTGATCCTAATGGTCAGGTAGGTTGGGGACCCTCCCAGTTACAAAATCTAGATGACCTTTTCAGGTTACCCACACATGCACAGAAACACACACCCCTGGGTCTATGAAAAGGCAACAATATAAGGTCGTGTGCTTGAAATGAGAAAGATTTCATGACAGCTAGCCCGGGAGTTTCCAACCTTGTCTGTTTATCATGCCCTTAATGTCTCAATGCTTTTTTTCACAGTAACCCTAGGCCTAAAGAAATACCTAACTGTTCTGTGTATTAAGTAGCTAGACCCAAAGTAAAAAGTATTTCTGTCCTAACAACTTAGTAGCTACTACAAAAAATAATGCATATAAAATAGAAAAAACAATTATCTTATTATTAGCCACAACTTCTCACTAATGGGATGTGTGTGCTTTCTGGGCACCACGCAACTTCTCAAACCTTGGAATTGGATTAGACACTGCCACCCTCATTCCCTATTCTATACTGATTTTTCCCATAGTACATGTTTTATGTCATAGCAAATGACAAAAACTGAAAATGTAGCTTCTGAAAAATATGGTTTTATCAAAAAACATGTAGGGCAGGCTGGGCGCGGTAGCTCACACCTGTAATCCCAGCACTTTGAGAAGCTAAGGCAGGCAGATCACTTGAAGTTAGGAGTTCAAGACCAGCCTGGCCAACATAGTGAAACCCCATCTCTACTAAAAATACAAAAATTAGCTGGGTGTGGTGGCACGTGCCTGTATTCTCAGCTACTCAGGAGGCTGAGGCAGGAGAATCTCTTAAACCTGGGAGGCGGAGGTTGCAGTGAGCCAAGAACACACCACTGTACTCCAGCCTGGGCAACAGAGTGAGACACCATCTCAAGGAAAAAAAAAAAATGTAGGGCAATCTAATGTTGAGTCTGCAAGCTATCCTGCACTGCTTAGTAGTTTGCATGGAGCCCAACAGAAGTTGAGTGTTGCCTTTGACCTTTAAAATATCCCAAAGAGCCCCTCCGAATTCACAGCAGCACCAAGAACACCTCAGCAGAGAGTTTGGGAACATGCATGGACCTCGCTCCTGCTCCTCTCCTCATCCCATACTCCCCAGGGTTCACAGTGCGCCTCCTGCAAGCATCTTCTTTCTTGCCAAATGCTTTCCCACCTCAGCACATTGCGCCATTGCTCTTCTCTCTGCCTGGAATGCTCTTCCTCGGGTCTCCGCAGGCCCAGCTCCTTCTTGGCCTCCAGGTCTTGGTTCAAAGACCACCGTGCTCCCTAAAGCCTCTTCAGACCTCCCACCAAATCACTTCTATCCTATGGGCCTGTTTCCTTTTCTCTGTAGCTGTTATCACTATCTGAAGTTATCCTGCTTAGTTTACTTACTTATTTTCAAGCTTCCCCACCAGAATGTGAACTTGATGAGAACAGAGACTTGTTCATTACTGTTTCCCCAGAACCTGGAACAATGCTTAGCAATAGGTGGACAATAAATAATTGTTCAATGAATGACTGCAGCCACTACACTCAGCTCAGGGAGATAAAAGGTAAGAAGAATGTGCTTTACATGTGCTATCCCCTTGGATCTTCACAACACCCTTTGGAAATAAATACAAATAGACATGATTAACCCCATTTAATAGGTGAGGAACTCACATTCAAAGAAGTTAAGTGTTCAAAGCTGCACAGCTGAAGTAGCAGAGCCAAGATTCAAGTTCATGTCTACTTGACTGCAAAGGCTGCTTTTCATAAAATCACATTAACATCATGTTGGATACCTTCGATACAGACAATAACTTTTTTTTTTTTTTTTTTTTTTTTGAGATGGAGTTTCACCCTTGTCGCTCAGGCTGGAGTGCAGTGGCGCGATCTCGGCTTACCACAACCTCCATCTCCCAGTTTCAGGCGATTCTCCTGCCTCAGCCTCCTAAGTAGCTGGGACTACAGGCATGAGCCACTACACTGGCTAATTTTTGTATTTTTAGTAGAGACAGGGTTTCATCATGCTGGCCAGGCTAGTCTCAAACTCCTGACCTCAGGTGATCTGCCCGCCTCAGCCTCCCAAAGTGCTGGGATTACAGGCGTGAGCTACCACACCTGGCCAACATTTATTTTTTTTAAAACAGTTTAACCACATTGCCTCCCATTATCCCACTATCCACCTAGAAAAGGGAATAGTAACAATGGTAAAGTCAAGAAATGTAGCCTAGGGGCTAATAGAGCCCCAGAGTCCTTAGAGAAACTGGCCCATGTTGGCATTTCCCCCCTCGAGGTCTCAGCCCCTGCCTCCAGTGGAAAATAGCAGAGGTGCCCACCTGGGACAGACTTGCCTTTATTATTCCTCTGGCCGTAGCTGCTACCAGGGAGACCCTCTTGTAGACATATCTTCTGGCGTGGCCCATGTTACCCTGTTAACCTAATGACACGTGTAACTCATTGCTGATTACAACTGCCGAGCTCCTGTTGATCATCCTGACAGGTAAGAGGTGAACTCACAGCAGCTGCAATCAAGGACATGATGAGCACACACCCTGAGCTCATCTGCATCCCCCAGGAAATGCTGGGCTGCCTTGACCCCCTGGGAGGAACTGTGAAGGATCCCCATAGACCAGAGCTTGGATGGCTGGACACTGAGTTTGAGACCCTCGTACAAAGAAAGGGAGATTAAAATTTGTTCTCTAAAGTCAAGGGACTTGTGCTTGTCAATTTCCCCTCTTCATATGGTTTGGTTGCCCCATGTTGCTCTTAAACAGGGTGGTTCAGACAGGAAAAGAATTCAGCTCTTCCCTCCTCACCTCTATACCCCGCTTGGCCTGGCCCAGCTATAATTTCTGCTTATTCAAGACTCAGTAGTGTTGGTGCCGCCTCTGGCAAGCCTGCCCTGGCCCCTGAGACCTCTCCTCTGTGCTCAGAATAACCCCCATACATCACTGGATCCTGGTACTTGCCCGGCTGCATTATAATTATCTAAGTGTGGGTCTGTCTCCCATCCAGGCTGTGAGCTGAACTGAGGTGGGAACTGTGACCTATTTACTGTTATGTTTCCAGCTTAGCACCATGCCTGGCAGAGTAAGTGGAATAAATATCTGGGCTAATGGAGTTGCTGAATTACCCGACTACGTGTTCTGACAGGTAGTTGGGAAGATCGGATCATCATAGTTCTAGTCTCTGCACTGCCAACATTCACAAGCTCCTGGAAGACCTTAGAAGTCATCTGGCCCCGTGCACAGGTTCCCACACCCTGAGGTCCCTGCACCAGGAAGGGTGGGGTCTGCCAGAACTACAAAGGCCAAGCGAACAACTTCTCAGGAAAGCCTGGGCCACAGGCTACTTTCATTTCTGAAGGCTCTGAGCCTATCTCACTGACCACGTAGAACAAATTGTTCATGACTCAACCTCATTATCTTCTACCTGGGGTATAGGAGCCCCAGCCTCCTCAGCTCTGCATCAGGTCACTGTTATCGCTCCCTTGTGGGCTTGCCATGTCACTTCCACAAGCAGCAGCAAAAATCACTTGCCAGAAAAAATGTCAGAAAAGCAATTAACATGAGTCTGGGAAGGAAGAAGGAAGCAACACATAAGAACAAAGGAGATGGCTCCTCCCTGCGAAGTCTGTGATTGCCTGCCAGGGAAGCCAGCTCCGGGAGACCTGGGGATTGGGCTTGAGCCATCAGCCTCTGCCCCTGGTGCTTTATGTCACAAGCACCAGCATCACTTTAATCATGAGCAGGAAGCTTGACTGCTGTGGGAACCCAAAGGGACCACCTGAAGCCGGTGATGAGAGGGGCTGCAGTTCAGGAGAAAGGCAGAGTCTCCCCCACTGCCTGCTGAGGAACGCAGCTGCTCTGCAGCTGAACTTGGAGAGGCGAGAAGGAGAATAGGCATTTAGGAAATGAGAGGCGACCCAGTGTCTGAACCCTGAAGGTCATGGGGAGATACAAGAGACAGAGAATAAGCCGGGCGTGGTGGCTCACACCTGTAATCCCAGCACTTTGGGAGGCCTAGGTGGGTGGATCACAAGGTCAAGAGATTGAGACCATCCTGGCCAACACGGTGAAACCCCGTCTCTACTAAATATACAAAAATTAGCTGGACGTGGTGGCACATGCCTGTAATCCCAGCTACTCGGGAGGCTGAGGCAGGAGAATCCCTTAAACCCAGAAGGCAGAGCTTGCAGTGAGCTGAGATTGCACCACTGCACTCTAGCCTGGCGACTCTGTTAAAAAAAAAAAAAAAAAACAAGGAGGGAGGGATAGACAAAGAGACACAAACACAAAAGGAGAGACGAAAGTCGACAACTTTAAAAAGAACTTTTAAACAGAAGGAGTTTTCACTGTCAGCGAGAGTGTGAGGGGCCTCCCTGAGAGTGGGGGAGGATTATGAAAGCATTACCAAAATGTTCTAGATCTCGCCCTGGAGACCACGAAGTCAGACCACATTTACATTCAGTTCCCAAACTGGGATCATCTAAGCTCTCACCAAGCTGTGGCAGCAGGTCCTGCAGCCTTCTCTGAGAGGCAGCATGGCCTCAGGGACTCAGGAGCCAGCCCCAAAGCGGAAGTCCCTCTGCTGCAGCCCCCACCTCAGGCGGCCACCATGGCACTCATGAGCTCACCATCTGCAAGGTACGGCTGCCCTCCACCACGGCTTTCACCACCACTGCCGCTCTGGCACCTAAGGAAGACCTGCCCTGGCCCCCACTTCTCAGTCCTTGCTATGGGATCCATCCCTCCCCAGTACCACACTTTTCCATGGATTTCCTCGAGAATTGGAGGCGACAGAAGGAACCTGTGTAGGGCCTAGAGCATCCTAAAGCCCCTGACCCACCTGCCTTGTACCTCAGGCCCACCAGCTTTACAGGGCCAGAGGTCAGTCATCTCCCACCATAGAAATAACTGACACTTTCGCGCCCCAGAGCCTGAATCGGAGGGAGATGTAGCTGCCCCCTAGCCTACGGCCCTGGGTCTTGGGGGATGATGCTGGGTTCCTGAGTGGCCCTGTGGAATCAAGGAGCTCACCTACTCCCCAGAGGCTGCTAAATGAGGGAGAGAAATAATCCACAACATATTTTAAACCACTGTATTCTTGGATGTTTTTCTTACAACAGCTTTGTCTTGCACCCTAACAAATAACAAGAGCAGGCAATTTCCTGGCAGGAGTCACATCTGATTTCAGCTCACAAGAGAGCCAGCCCTCCAATCCTGGGGTTCCATATCTGAAGATTTTCTATCTGCAGATATGAAAGATATTTCATACAGATAGAAAATATTCCAAAACGAACCAAAAATATAGGAAATATTCTATTTAGAATATTTTTGAAAATATTCTAAATATTTTAGAAATATTAGATAGAAAATATTCCAAAACAAACCAAAAATATATATAACAATAAGAAAACACAGGCCAG